TCTTTCCCACCTTGGCCCTTTACGCTTGCCACCTCCTTTACCTGGAACACTCGTTGCATTGCTAGTTCCTTCTTGTCAATCAGGTCTCAACTCATGTCACTTTCTCTGAGAAGACTTCTCTGACCACTTAATGCAAAGCAGGTGCATCACCCTGTCACCCCCAATCACTACCATTTCACCTTGCCATCTTCACAGCACTTACTACTATCTGACACTACCTTGTTCATGTATTTGTTTACTTACTCACTGCCTGTCTCCTCAGACTAGAAAGGCTCCACGAAGGTAGGGACCTTGACCCTCTAATTCACCAGAACATCTCTTAGGTCTTGGCACAGAGCAGGCCCTCAAATATTTGTTGATTAAATAAATGTGTACCAGAAATATGTTAACTTATTACCTCTTAAAAACCTCAGAACAGGGCAGGAATTTCCCAGTGCAATGCAATACATGCCATTTTATTGAACTTTTGTAAAAGCGGGTGTGACTTTTCCTGTTAAGTTCTTATGCCATTCTTGTTCTGAATGTGGTCCAGAAAAAAAATGGGTTTCAACATACCACTTTTGGGATTTTTATCAGGCAAGACTGTGAAGACTTTTACCTGACCTCTGAGGTTCTAAACAAGGAATACCTTTATTAAACAAAAAGGATAATTTATCAGTTGGTTAACAGAAGGAGGGAAATTTGTTATCAGCCAATATCCTACCCTTGTTTGGAGAAAATCAACACCAAAGAATTTAAACAACAATCTTCCTTTACTAAAGTCAAGTGTCCTTTGTGTGCACTCCCAGGATGCAATTATCTGCTGAGGAAGCAACATACAGGAACACCCAGACAATCACTCTGGACTAAGTGACTTCAATTTTGGCTCAGTCTCTTGACAAGTAGAATGTGAGCCGAGCTTCTGGAAGAAGAAAGGGCCAGTCCTTCATAGATCTACTTCCAGCGTTCTGTACCAGAAGCCAGTAAGTTCTGACCCACTTTCCAGGCACAGCTTATCCACATACACTTATTCACACACAGGCTTCATCCTAAAGAGCTGTGTGGCCCTATAGGGGCATGGGAAGGGGCAAGGCGGGGCTGGTACAGTGTTTTTCAAAACGTAGTTACAGACCACCTCAATCATAATCACTACAGTGCTAATAAAAGTACAGATTCCTGGGCATCACCTAGCCCTAAGGAATTAGAATCTTTGGAAACTGCATTTTTAACAAGCCTCCAAGCACACACCCCGAGTCTTATGCACAGTTAAGTTTGAAAACCAGTGGGATAAAAGCTCCCTATGAGAGAGGCAGGGAGTTGAGAGAAGACAGGAGAAATGATTAGGGAAGAATCTGGGGATGGAGGATGGGGGGGGCCAAAGGCATGCTTCCGGGTATCGGCAGTCAAGACAAGTGCGCGGTGGGAACAGCTGAGGGTACAGGTGAATACAGGGCTCTGGAAAAGATCTGACACAGGATTTGGGCTGGGAGGTTGGTCAGAGGTGAGGACGCATCTGCGGACTGGTCAAGACAGTGGGGAGGCGGAGAGAGCAGGGTCTGGACGTGAGAGGGAGGAGCGAAGGTGGGAATAACTGGGGGCTCTTCAGAGAGATCAGGGCTGGAAAGTGAAAACTGGGAAATGGGAGTCACAGGACGCGGACCAAAGCCAGAATAGGAACCGACGGAGGCGGTGTTTGAGACCTTTCCTCCGACCCAGTGCCTCCCCCAAAACTTCGGGCCTTGACAAGACTGAGTGCGGGGCAAAGGCCGGAGAGGGGGAGTTTGGGGGAGTCGAGCCCTGTCAGGGATGTCCCTCAGGCCTGCACTAGGAGTCCCTGAGGTGGCTCGGGCCAGGCATGGGACGCCGGAAAGTCCTGGGATCTCCCGGACGGCCCCGCTCCATCTCCGGCTCCCGGAGCCTCCTTCACTCACCATCGCAGCCGCCATCTTGGATCCACGTGTCGTCGTAGTGACGTCAGCGGAAGTAGTGTTTCCCTGGTTACGGAGTTAAACTCCGCAAGGTGCTGCCTGCCTTCAGTCGCTCCTTTCGTGGCGGTGAGTGGAGGGGCAAAGAAGACTTAGCTGCTGATCGGTAGCTTGGTCTGGGGAGTCAGGTCGCTGATTAGGTGAAAAGAGAGAATGGTGTAACTACGGGAGCCATGTTAGCTCCTGGCAGAGCCTGCTCCTCCCACTCTTGACACTGCATTGTGGGTAATAGAGGTGTGAGTAAACGCCCTTGTTCTGTGGACTCCATTTTTACTATTGGCAGGAAGACCCGTTGCCAGGGTTAACTGAGGCCCTGTTATGGGTGAGTGGGATGGGTACCAGGGCTCTATTAGCAGAATAATTTGTAATTATATATTTAATTACTTGCTTGAATATCCTATATCCTCTCCAATAAAATATAATTCCTATGCGGGTAGGATCCTGTCTTTTATTTAACCTCGCTCTGCCTCATTCTCATCTGTGAAATGCGGAGGGGATGATTATAATACCTTCATCATACGTTTATGATGAGGATCCAATGACATAATGTTACATACTATTATTCAATAAATAATTGTCGTTATACTCTTATGTATACTCCTTCTGGCATATGTTAGGTGCCCAACACAATACACTACTTATTAAATGAATGAAGGAAAAGCAGCATCTTTAATGGAGGGAAACATCTTTGAATGTGGACTTAACCATGTGCTACTTACCTAAGTGTGTGACTCGAGGCAAGTCACTCAACCTTCCTAAGCCTCAGTTTCCAGTAGCTGGAAAAGGAGACCCAAAGAGTTGTGGTGTTAAAATTGGGAGAGACCTGAAAGTTCTCTTGGTCCATGTATCACTGTAAGGTGGATACAGTACCAGTGCTATCTGCAACTGTTAGGAAAAGTTGTAAAAGAATAATAATGGTGAGACTTCCCTGGTGGCGCAGTGGTTAAGAATCCACCTGCCAATGCAGGGAACACGGGTTCGAGCCCTGGGCCGGGAAGATCCCACATGCCACAGAGCAGCTTAACCCGTGTGTCACAACTACTGAGCCTGCGTGTGGCAACTACTGAAGCCCGCGCGCCTAGAGCCCGTGCTCTGCAACATGAGAAGCCTGCGCACGGCAACGAAGAGCAGCCCCCACTCGCCGCAACTAGAGAAAGCCCATGCTCAGCAGCAAAGACCCAACACAGCCAAAAATAAATTAATTAATTAATTTTAAAAAGGCAAAAGAATAATAATGGTTAATAATAATAATCACTTACTGAACATTTGTTGTGTGCTGCAGCATTTAGCATTATGCTAAAACTATTCATAAGACTCTCTTATCTAATCCTACCTCTTGGCAGGGGGCAGTTGAACTCTGTTGCCCACCTACAAGCACCAATATGGTGGATTGCCAGACAAAGAAGGCTGCCAACAAGTCTTCCCATCTTTTCGTGAGCATACTGTTTTTCCCGCCAAGAGGTAGACTCTTATTCTCCCCCTTTTGAATCTGGCTGGCCACATCATTTGCTTTAGCCAATAGAATGTGGTACAGATGGCGTTGCCAGTTCTGGGTCTAAGCCTTAAGAGACTTGGCAGCTTCTGCTTCCATCATCTTGGGTCTAAAGATGTCTGGCTACCCAGCTGGAGAGCCACATGGAGAGGGAGAGAGGCCCAGCCATCTCCTCAAGTTACTCTGGAAATTCTAGTTGAGCACTAGGCATACAAATGGAGTCAGCATGGACATTCTAACCCTAGCTGAACTGCCAACAGAATGCAGCCACATGCATAACCTTATCTGACACTATATGGAACAAAAAAAACTGCCCAGCTGAGCTCGGTTGTTTTAGATTTTGGAGTGGTTTCTCATGCAGCAATAGATAATTGAAACATACACTTATTAACTCTTGTGACCCACACAGCTATCGTGAAGAAGAGCACAACAGATAAATCCCCAAAAGGGGGAAGAAATTTGAGAGACTAGGGGGGGAAATCTGCCTGGAGTTTCATAGCTAGTAAGCCATAGGTTCCAAACTTGCAATCCGTTCTCCTGGAGCTTGAATCCTGGGTGTTTCCCACCATTTCTGGATGCCTGAAGAAGGATGACTGATAAGGAACAAAGTTCCATGAATGGCATATTCCTCAGTATTTCCATTTTCCCCCTCATACTTTCTGTTTTTCCCATAGGGCTTTCATGACCCAGTCTCCTTTAGTAACATACATACATCAGAATCTTGGAGTAAGACTGCTTGCGTTTAGAGCCCATCTCTGTCACCCCCCAGCTCCGTGGTATGGGCAGATTTCACTTTTCCCTTAATTTTTTTTATTGTAAAATATACATCACATAAAATTTACCATTTTAATCACTTTTAAGTGTACAATTCCGTGGTATCAAGTACATTCACAATCTTGGGCAGTCATTACGACCCTCCATCTCCGGAAACTTTTCATCATCCCAAACTGAAACTCTGTACCCATTAAACTCTAACTCTGCATTATACCTTCCCCTCAGCCCTTGGTAACCACTATTCTACTTTCTGTCTCTGAATTTGCCTATTCTAGATACCTCATATAAATGGAATTATGCAATATTTGTCCTTTTGTGTCTGGCTTATTCCATTTAGCATAATGTTTTCAAGTTTCATTCATGTTGTAGCATGTATCAGAATTTTATTCCTTAAGACATTTGGGTGGTTTCTACCTTTTGGCTATTGTAAATAATGCTGCTATGAAATATCTGTTCAAATCCCTGCTTTCACTTCTTTTAGGTGTACACACAGAAGTGGAATTGCTGAATCATATGGTAATTCTATGTTTAACTTTTTGAGGAACTGGTATACTATTTCTCACAGTGGCTGTATCATTTTACATTCCCATCAGTTATGCACAAGGGTTCTAATTTCTCCACATCCTCACCAACACTTGTTATTTTCTGTTGTTGTTGTTATACTTAATAATAACCATGCTAATGGGTGTGAAGATGGGCAAGTTTTTTAACCTCTCTAAACCTCAACTTCCTCATCTGTAGAGCATGTATCATAAAAGACCTTACCTCATAGGATGGTTATGTGGGCTTAATAAGTTAATATATGCCAAAAGATTAGAATAGTGCCTGTCACATGGTAAGTGCTATATACGTGTTTGCTGTTATTACTTTGAGGTCAGTAGGGCTGGCCTTTTTATCTCCGGAATGGTGGAAACATTAAGATAAAGATAAGTTGAGAAACTTGGACAATGTAACCCAGCAAATCAGAAGGGGCATAAGGCTTGACTCAAATCCATTGAGTCGAATCCATGCCTCTGTTGTACATCCAGACAGACAGACAAAACCAAACCCAAACTAGAGGGGTCTTATAGGAGCATCGAGGCATGTAGTTCCAGACACCTGCAAAAGTGCTTCTCCAAGGAAAACTGGAGGGTGGGGCTGGGCTTAGAGGAAGAAAATCCAATCCTTAGATATCTCCAAGGAGAAGGGTAGGATGTATTAATCTATGTCCTTCTCACACTGGTGTCAGTTATCTATTGCTACATAACGCACTACCCTAAAATTTAGTGGCTCAAAACAACAATGATTTATTATTTCCCTTGATTGTGTAAGTTGGCCATCTGGGAAATTCTGATGGTTTCAACTGGGATCTTTCATACGCTCTCATCTGACAGCTTAACTGGGGCTGGAGGGTCCAAGGTGGCCTCTTATGTTTGGGAGGTTGGTGCTGACTATCAGAAGGGCCTCTCTCTCCCCATGGTCTTTCATCCTCAACAAGGGCAGCCTAGGCTTCTTCACAGTGTGGTCTCAGGGGTCCCTGAGGGTGAGAGCAAAAGCTGCTAGCCTCTTCCTAAGGCCTAAGCTTCAGAAATCCCATAGCATCATCTCTGTCACAATCTGTTGGTCAAAACAAGTTACAAGATCAGTCCAGAGTCAAAGTGGGAGGACATCACACACAGGCACGAGTTCAAGGAGGCGTGATTCATTGGGGGTCATTTTGTCACAAACCATGGCGCAATCCTTGCCTAGGCCACCCTCCCCTCTCTCCTCTGGGCATCTGGGGTGATTTTTTTCTCCACCCACTCTTGTCACCTCTAATATCTATTTAACCGTCAAAGTCATCTTTTAAAAAACAAGAATCAACTGTTTCTTCCCTGTTTAAAACTCTCGAATGATTCCCACTGTGGTAACAGAAAATCCCAGGTCCTCACCATGGCCTGCAAGGGCCTTCATGATCTGGCCTTGACTCCTACGCTGTCCCCTTTACTCACCAGGCTCCAGCCACACAGACCTACTTGGAACTTGCCGAGCTCATCTCTACCTCAGGGCCTTTGTACTTGCAATTCCTTCTCTCTGGAATATTCTTCTCTCAACATTTTGTGTGATTAGCTCCTTCTCATGATTAGGTCTCAGCTCAACTGTCACCTGAGAGAGATGTTCCCTGCCCCCGACACAGTTGGGAACACACACACACACATAGAGAGAGAGATACTTTGGTTATTTCTTATTGTCCTTCCTCCATGAAAGCCTACACTGGGTCTATGGTGTTCCCAACTGTGTCCCTCTTAAGTATGTGCTCAAAAAAATATCTGTTGAATGCTTGCATTATGAATTAATCTTAGGCCTCACTCTGTCAGTTGGGAATAGATCCGGCTGCAAGGAAGACACACACACACCCCCGGAAAGTAACAGTGGCTTAACAAGATGAACACTTACTTTTCTCTGTCTTAGTTTGCTTTTCTCCAGAAGCTGACTCTGAGACAAGGAATCAAGCAAAAGTACTTTATCTGGGAGGTAAAGGGATGGCAGAAGGCAATGGTGTGCAGAAGCCAGCTTCTACTGTTTGCAAGAGCTGATAGTTAAATTCTCAGAAATTTTGTGAGCCAGTTGTTGAATATGGGCATTATTGAAAATTAAATTATATACATTTAAAATTAAATAAATGGTATTAAAAACGAAAGTATGAAATATTCAAAACTCATTTCCTAATAATTTTACTAGATTTTATTATTTGCTAAGCTCTTGATTTTATTTACATCTATTTTATGTGTATGACAGAAATACTGTTATTTCATGTGCTGCTACACATCTCTTCCCAGCTCTGTATTCAGTGACTTTGGGTTGGTAGCAGTAAGGCACTACATACTTTTAGGGTCCACGAAATGTTTAAAAGAAATTAATTCCTTTTAAAATCAGAAGGCAGAAATGAGCTTTGGTGTTGAAGTA